AGTTCCCCATTGAGGAACGCCGTTTTCACATCCATTTGATGTAAATCCATATCAAAATGGGCAACCAATGCCAAAATAATACGAAAAGAATCTTTCTTAGATACAGGAGAAAATGTCTCCGTGTAATCGATTCATTCTTTTTGAGTGAATCCTTTGACAACAAGTCTAGCTTTATATCTCTCAATGTTGCCTAATGAATCCTTCTTAGTTTTGAAGACCCATTTACAACCAATGGCCTTCGCACCATTTGGCAACTTAACTAAATCCCAGACTTCGTTGGATGCCATAGAACTCATCTCATCCTTCATGGTATTGTACCACAAATTGGATTCATCACTACTCATGGCTTGTGAAAACGTTTCAGGATCATTCTCAGCTCCAATATTGTAGTCAGACTCTTGTAGATACACAATATAATCACCAGGAATTGCTGATTTCCTCATTCTAGTAGATCTTTTTAATGTTGTATCAACATTCTCCTGAGGAGCTTGTTGTTCAACTGGTTGTTCAACAGTTTCTGGTAATTGCTGAACAACTGGATCTACCGGATGAATATCAGCAGGTTGTGGAACTTCAATAGTTGGTTGTTCAATAGCCGACTGAACTGAAGGGGCATTATGAACAACAACCAACCTAATACTTGAAGTGAAAGGTTGAGTATCTGAATGATCTTTCTCAGGAACAATGTCCTTCAATCGATCACTCCTACTAATCAAGTCACTTTCAAGAAACTTAGCATTTCTTGATTCCACAATCCTAGTAGTATGAGATGGACAATAAAACCTGTATCCCTTGGATTTTTCGGTATATCCAATGAAATACCCACTTACAGTCCTTGGATCCAACTTCTTTTCCTGTGGATTATAGACTTTTACTTCAGACAGGCATCCCCAAATGCGTACATGACGCAAACTTGGTTTCTAACCTTTGAATAACTCAAAAGGCGTCTTTGGGACAGCCTTGGTTGGAACTCGGTTTAGTATGTACACTGCCATCCTAAGAGCTTCAGTCCACAAGGACTTAGGAAGTTTGGAGCTACTAAGCATACTCCGCACCATGTCCAATAAAGTTCGGTTTCTTCTTTCTGCTACGCCATTTTGGTCTGGAGAACCAGGCATAGTGTATTAGGCAACTATTCCATTCTCTTGAAGAAACTTTGCAAACGGACCAGGTGTTTGTCCATCTTCAATGTATCTACCATAAAATTCTCCACCTCTATCTGATCTCACGATTTTAATTTGCTTACCGCATTGATTCTCTACTTCCGCCTTAAAAAACTTAAAGGCATCCAACGTTTCATGCTTATGATGAAGCAAGTAGAGATACATGTAACGTGAGTAATCATCAATGAAAGAGATGAAGTATTTCTGATCATATGAGTCCATATCAGGACTACAAATGTCTGTATGTATGATTTATAATATGTCTGTACTCCTCTTGGCACCTTTCTTTGTCTTGTTGGTTTGCTTTCCCTTTATGCAATCCACGCAAGTATCATAATCAGTAAAATCCAAAGTAGCGAGTACTCCATCATTTACTAATCGCTTAATTCTATCTATGGAGATATGTCCCAATCTCCGGTGCCGCAACATAGAGGAATCTTCATTCACAACACATCGTTTTACACCAGCATTATCATGAACATGCATCGCATTATAATAGGCATTGTCCTGTAAATTAATTCGAAAAAGGTCATCAGACAAAGTACCGTTTCCAACAATTTCAGATTTAAACAATAAACTGAAGTTTGCATCTGAAAAGTTAAAAGAGTAACCCAAAGGTACAAGTCTTGAAACTGAAATTAAGTTTCTAGAGAAACTTGGAACATAAAAGGTCCTTTTCAAATTCAAAACAAAGCCACTATTGAGAACTAATCTACATGTCCCAATAGCTTTCACATGCGAACGCATCTTGTTTCCCAAATAGATGCTTTGTTCACTTCCCACTGGCTTCCTGTGGTTTTGAAAACCCTGCAAGGAATTCGAAATATGGATTGTAGAACCAGAATCAATCCACCAAGCGTTGTGACTCACATCAGCCATATTAGATTCATAACAAACACAAGAGGTTGGATTACCTTTCTTCTCGAGCCAGGCCTTAAATCTGACGCAATCCTTCTTTATATGCCCATTCTTTTTACCGAAGAAACATTTGGATTCCTTCTTAATGTCAGCTTGGGGAGGTATTTTACCTTTCCCTTTCTGCTTGCCGTGACCCTTATTCTTTCCTTGTGTTGCCAAATGAGCACTTTCTCCCAATTCCATAATCAGCCTCTCTTCCTCTTGACCACACATGGTCATGAGTTCATTAATTGACCATTTATTTTTATGTGTTGTAGGAGATCTTGAAAGGTGCATACTGTTATGGGAGAGTGTTCAGAATATAGTATACAAGAAATGATTCAGATATCTCAACCTCAAGGTTTTTCAGCTGAGCTGCAATGTCCCTCATTTTCATGATGTGCTCACACACACATTTAACACTTATGAGCTTTATAGATGAAAACTTCATTATCAGGGTCATGGCATGTGCCTTTTCAGAAGTCTCAAACTGCGCATCAATGGCCTCCAATAAAGCCTTAGCATAGCTATGCTGAGCGACCGAACCACGGATACTTGGAGATATTTTAGTCCTTATGATCATACTAAGGCGGTTAGACCGCTCCCACTGTTCATAAAGGGCTATCTCAATTGCAGTGCTCGTGTCAGTAGGAGCAGGTGGTTCGTCTTTCCTTATAGCATAGTCAATATCCATGCACCCTAATTGAAGAAGAATTAACTCCTTCCAAACTTTATAGTTTTCACCATTCAATATGAGAACATCTCTTAAATTCAGAGAAATTCACAAGTTGCAAAACTGCATATTAAACAATCATGCTTATGTCACAAAATTTGAGGTAAAATATACATAAATCATGTTTTACCAATGTAAAGCATGTCACAAAATATGAATCACATAACATAAAAACTGCCTGTGGGCTAAGTTTTTAATTTAAATAGATTCATAAATATTTCATGAAGAAACTATCATATTATATTCCTTTCCTTAATCCCTGTGGGTAAATTAAGAAAAATAATATGTTATTTCAACCTAATTAATCAAATTAATATAATAAAAATTCATGTGGGATAAAATTCATCATATTAATAAGATTAATTACAATCAATGTCCATTTCCAAATGTGATCCGGAGTCTCTTAATATATAATTTAATTAATTAAAGATGATGTGGCTACTCTCTAATTAATTAAAATATATGGATCACTCGACATTTAATTTCATGCATAAAATATTCACAAATAATGCATGAAGGGCAAAACAGTAATTTAATGCCACCAAGGGCAAAAATGTCAATACTTCAGCCAATGGCAAAACTGTAAATTAATTCGGCCAAAGGGGCAAAACAGTAAATAACCATAAGGGGGCAGAAACGTGAAAATGAATGGGTCCGCCGGTTCCCAAGGGCGCGTGCCTCACCGCTCGGGCACGTGCCGAGCACGCGCTTGGTAACTACCGCGCACGTGGCCGCGCACGCGCCTGGCAGTTGCGCGCGCGTGGAACCTACGCGCCAGCAGTTCACACGCGTGGGGCCACACCCCTTCTTCCTCCGCACGAGCAAATCCAATTTTTTTTTTTCGACGTTCTTCGCCGTTCCGCCGCGCCTTCGACCAAATGGGTCTCCTGCAGCAGCCCAACTCAGACCAAAATAATTAGTGGGTTTCCGAGAACACACCGGTGCGACCACATGAACCCAAAAATCGGCGAAAACGGCCAAGAATATGCCCGAATCAAGCAAAATTCCGTCAAAATGCACAAACCCCAACACGCAACTTCCGCCGCGCAATTAGCCTCCGGCGATCACCGATATGCCAAATTAACTGAGGGCTATTCTTCTCCATGGCGGTACGACCGTGCCGGTCCGAATCAAGCGGTGGGTCGCTGGAATTTTGGCCGGAATCGGCGATTTCCCTCTTAGCCCCAAAATGCCCGAATTAATGTTCATCACAAAAGCCCCGAAAAATGCACCCAAAATTCGACAAAAACAAGGCAGAGGCACTAAACATGCTCTGATACCAAATGTTAGAATAAAACTGAATGATTCTAATCATGTATTAAAGAACAAAATTCAAGCACAATTAGAATCAAATGCGGAAAACATGATCGAAAATAAATTGACTCCAGCCATTGTTCAACTTTACGTTCGTTGGAAATCCACGGTGGTTTGACGTCAATTCGACAGCGATTACAAGCACCTGATGGTGTATTAGAGAATGAGAGGGTTTGCGTTAGACCGCAACAATGTTCCAATTCTATCCCCAACTTTGACTAAAGCCAGTTACACTGCAACAGCCATTTCCCTAACTCTGGTATTCAGCTACTACAGGCGGTGCACAAATTCGGAGCACAACAGCCTATCGGAAATGATGCCCTTTCTCACCTACAAGTTTAACTTTAAATTCATCCTAGTGAGTATCATCAGTTTCTTCATACTGCCCAGCACAAGCAGTGAAGCCAAAACCGACCAACCGACCAACCCAAGTTTTAAAAAAGCAAGACAGAACAAAATTGAACCCAAGTGCTGAGCCAATATCGGCAAAATCATAAAGTTAGAGTTGACACGGTTTATGCTTCATGCCTTTGAGACTAACGGTGTTAGGCACTCAACATCGAACCATCTGTTCTAATAACACGCAGATAATTGGGAGATTGCAGCCGATTACGCTAATTATTCTGAAAGCCTGGAACCATCGGAAAATGGCTCAACTTTTGTCTTTAACGCGTAAGATCGGCCATGGTCTTCCAGATGCGGATCACCCAAAACCGGAGTTCTGTGCAGAAGTAAGTTCAGAACCATTCGACCCGCAAGCCGATCTCAAAGACCGTCACCTTTCACTCCAAGATCCAACAAAATCAAACTCCGGGCCCACAAAAACCCGACAATCATTTCACCTCGCGGCCGGCACAAAAACCCAGAATGCGCTCGACAAAAATCAAAGTCACCTTGCGACCGGAGTCGATGAGGAGAGGGGGGCCGCAGAGACGGAGGAAGACGTCCTTCTTCCTGGTCAGCGGGGGCCCAAGAGGCGGAGGCGGCGGCAGCGGCGAAGTCGAGACGATGAGGTCGAGATCAGGGGGCAGGAACTTGCGCCAGACGGCGTCGGAGTCGGAGGCGGAGTGGAAGGCGCGGGAGACGGCGGAGCAGCGGGCGGCGTCGCGAGGGGTGGTGAGGGAGATGATGTGGGCGACGCACCCCTCGGGCAAGCCGTCCATCTCCACCACCTCCTTTGGGTGATCCATGGCGTTCGAACCTCCTCGGTCCGACGTTCTTGTTTCCGATTCGGACGACGGAATTCCGAGTCCGAGGTTGCCGATGCTCATCACCGCCGCCTCCGCCCCAGCCATGGCCACGATGAAGCACGGAAGTAAAGATGCTGTTTACAGTTTCACAGCTTTTGTCGTCGCTTTTGCTGGTCTTCCTCTGGGTCCCTGGCTCGGGCCGCCAACTACCCGGTGCGCCCCGAGCCCGACCCGGACGGTTTTTTTTTAAATTTTTAAGATGGATACGGATATCCTTCAAAACCAGGGATAAGCATGGTCTAGATCGAGCCGGTTCAGCACGTAAACAGCAATTGCAGAAGAAGAGATTCCATTCACACTTCTCATACGCTGGTTTCACGGGTTAGCGTTGTGAGCAGGCTTTCCCTTCAAATTATTGTATTGGGAATCCAGACCACGGTATCGTTCCTCTGATGTGGACTTAAAGGGGCATAGCTAGAATTTCTGCTGCAACACCACACCACCCCTAAAAAGGTGTTTTGCGCCTGATTAATTAACTCATGAACAAAACTCAGGATCATCGGCCTTAACAGGTCTTGAGAGACTTCTTGTTTTAGTCGCACATGAAACAAAAGGAGAAAGAAGTTTTGGTCCAAAAGCAAAAAGGGGCTCATATTATATTATAATATATGTTGAGAATTGTCTGGGTCATGATAAAGGAATTTAAAGTGCTAGTACTGGAAATTTAAAGAGTACGGGAAGATAAGAATGGCAGAAATTTAATGGTGATGGAAGAGTCAATTTGTACGAATTGAAAGAAATAATTGAAGGTGCAGAAGAACTTGATTTCTGATATTAATTGTGTGTACAGAGAAGTTACAACGTGGATGTTTATATCCCACTAGTCATGGTCACGGGCCGGTTTCGGCCCGGAACCGGACCGGAACCGGCCCGGTCAAATCCGGGCCCGGCCCGTTGACTGGGCCCGCGGTTTGGAACCGGCCCGGAACCGCCGGTTCCGGGCCCGGTTCAAAAAAAAAAAAAAAGAAGAAGCTGCAGATCTGGCGAGGGTTCGACCTCGCCGGCGTCGGGCGAGGCCGGCCTCGCCAGTTGCAGGCGAGGTCGAGCCTCGCCGGCGTCAGCGGCCGGCCTCGCCCGGTTGCGAGCGAGTCGAGCCTCGCCGGCGTCAGCGGGGTTCGACCTCGCCGGCCTCGGGGAGGCCGACCTCGCCAGTTGCCGGCGAGGTCGAGCCCTCGCCCGACGCCGGCGACCTCCGCCGGCCCCAGCTATGGCCGGCGGAGGAAGAAAAGAAAAAAAAAGAAAAAGAAAAAAAACAGAAAACAAAAATTATGAACCGGCCCGGAACCGGAACCAGCCCGGAACCGTCCGGTTCCGGTTCATACTTGGCCACGAACCGGAACCGGTCGGTTCCGAACCGTGGCCATGACTATATCCCACTAACGGCCGTTACTTACAAACAGTCAGTAATTTTGTATCTGCTAATAACTTCCTAACGTTATTTACAGTTATTCATAAGCACTTCCAGAGATCCATAAGAAGTTACAACTTCCGAGATCATCCGAACAACCAGCTGACAATCATGTGCTTATGTAGATTCAAAACTTTGGAACCGAGCACCGACCTTGTTGACCTAAGTCGACCCTACGGGTCCAATTCAATTTCAAAGTCAATTCGGGACCAGCCGATTATTTTTTTTGTTTCGTTTTTTGTATACTTTAAAAGGATAAACATACTATTTCAAATTTTATATATATCAACAATACGACATTGAGCAACCAAACTATTAACACCAGTACGTATCAAACATAAATATAAGATAAGGTAACACCATAAATTTCACAAAGCAAACATTCGAAATACATTTAAACCATAAGAAGTTCAAAATACGTAATATAAATCATGAATTATACAACTTCGTATATTATTCATTCTTAAATGATTGCTTCAACTTCCGAACACACGAAAACAAAACAAACAACACGCAATTAATACTTAACAAAAGTATGTTCGTCCAACTAAGCTGCGCTCATGAGGTGAGCGGTAAGGTGAGTGAACAAAGGCGAGTGGTGAGGTGAGTGAACAAGGGTGAGCTGCAAGGCGAACGAGGCAAGCAAAGAGAGGCGAGCGGCAAGGCGAGCGAATAGAGGCAAGCCAAGCAAGCGGTGAGCGAGACGAGCCTGGCGAGAGGCCGAGGTGGGCGAGCAAACAGAGTAAAGAGGGTTTCTATTTTTTATTTTTTATGGTCGAATTAGGACTGATTTTCTTTCCACTTTCTAATTTACACAGCAAAGTAAATTGTATACAAAAGAAGAGGTGAGAGGAGGGGGCACTAGGTTTAGAGTAGACAAAAGTATATTATATATAATATCTAATCTATATCCACTTAAGTTAAACTCCTCAAGTGATTCTTTTTCATTTCTTGTGCCCTTATGGAAGACTATGCTCAGAGATGAGCAAAAGAACTTGGAACCAGACCGAACAGGTAGATTTCGGGCGGTTCTCGATTCCTAAAAATCGGAACCGGAGAATATCAGTCCGGTTCCTGATTACACCGGAACCCTAGACCAAACTATATATATATATATATATATGTGTGTGTGTGTGTGTGTGTGTGTGTGTGGGGGGGGGGGGATACACTTTCTTAAATCTGCTTGAAATTTGGCACCAGCAAGTGTTTGCTCATTACCAGATGAGTTAGAATGATTCCTTCTTTTATTTGTTTCATATATCAGAAATGATTTTCTCGTGTTGGGATTCTGAAGGTTGTGTATTGCCACCTTTATGTAAGAAACCTCTCTTCCTGTCATAATTAGCCCATTTTCTTTTGGGTCTTGGAAAAAACATTTTAACCCTCCTAGTCTCTGTCGACTCTTTTGAGATTTTTTGAATCAAATCATGATAAGAGGGACATCAAACACTGTGCAGTAAGTTTGATTTGCCTCCTACAGTTATGTTCATAACATTTACAGTAGCAGAGGTTCGTTCTTCATTCTCTTATGAACTTCTATATATTTGCATCTTGCATAAGTATATAGGAGGAGAGTTGGAGCATACATTTGAACTAATCTGCTAAAACAAAATTTTGATAGTTTCCTCGAGTGAAAACTCCTTATTTGCATTTGCCCCAGAAGAATATATGGGGAAATCGGAAAATCGACTTGAACTAATCTGCGAAAAGAAATGTCGGAAATTAATCTTGTTCTCCTTTAGCGAGAAATGCTTCATTATTTGACGGAAGATTTTGGCACGTTTTCTAGTCTATTACAAATGTTGATCTCCCTTTTCAGTTGATGTTTACCTTAATTGACCAAAAATGTGAGAACCGGCCAGGAAAGGATTCCATAACGTCACGATCGGTTCCTAGACCCACCCGATTCCACAAATTGGAAACCAACTCTTTTGGTCTGGTTCCCAATTTAAGGGTGGGAACCGACTCACCCTGAAGCCAATTACCCCTAATTGTGTCAAGCTAGTCGATGGTGGTTAATCTTAGAACTCAGTACTAAGGGCGAGAAATAAATTTTTCATTAATATATCATATATAAATTTAAGGGATTTTTTGATATGGGGAGACGGTGACACCATCGGATCACTAAAGCTTACTTTCATCTCTGCTCGACGAGTGGATCTTGCGATCAAGCTTCCTTTTGCACGACTCTAAGAAAAATGGAATTTTCGATCGATCAACCTAACTTAACTCTTACTATATAAATATTTAATTAAAAAATGACTGAGTTATTTTGTTATCTCTACATTATTTAGGGATAATATACATTTCCATTATCTCATAGTCAATCATTCATAATTGACTAGATCATTGAGAGAGGTAGTGGCCAAATACCAAATCCACCCCTATATCACCACCATTTCTCTAAGTCAATAAGGCCACATTGGGTAGTCGGGATAAAATTCGAGATAGGATAGATTTTATCATATCCCATATTTAGTGCCTGCCCCAAGACAGAATAAAATCGGATAGAAGAGGGATATAGCCGGATAAAATTATCTCATGAGGGAGGTGGGATAAAGGTAGATAGGATTTTTAATATCCATAATATAAAAGTTAATTTTCTCGAATAACAAACTTGTTAAATTAATAAAATATAAATAATATTTGAATTTTAATATAAAAAATTCAAAATAACAAAAAATAACTATAAATTTGTTTTTATTTATTCTTATTTTTATTATATATTCATTTTTCTTTCTATCTTATGATATAAATTTCATATATATATATATATATATATATGTATGTATAAATACAAATACTTTATTGCATATTTTAGGTATATTTGTATAGGTTACTATTTAATAAAATTTTATTAGAGAATGATGGAAGGGGAAAAAGAAATAAAAAAGAAAATAATTAAACAAGAGAGGGAAAAATAATAAGAAAATAAAATTGAAGTACGTAAGAGTGTCGTGAGAAATTTTTATCATCTTCGTTTGTGCAATTTTCAGGTTCATTTATATTGATATGACGTTCATAGCAAATAATGGACATAGTAATATGTGAAAATATCCGGTTTTATTACTGCGATTCGCCAAACAGTAGATAGGATATAGTAAATCCCTTGGATTTCATATTCTATCTTATTTAATCCTATCCTGCCTAGAAATCTAAATGACCAAACGCAGCCTAAGTATTTGTAACAGTTTTGCTCGTGACATGACTCGAATTTATGTTCTCATGCAAAATAGCATGACAAAAACGTTAATGACTGCATCTTTTGTTTGTTCTCTCTCAATGAAAGATCGCTTCTTCTTTTCTGTTTTTGGTAGAGAATTTGGTAGTTTTCGGGCTAGCTTTCGCGCATTTCAATTGGTCCACCTCTTTAACCGATCTTAAGAGTGCACTCCCCCACGTCGGCCTAATACATTCCAGATTTTACTCCTAAAATGTTCCGAAAAAGGGTTGAACCGATCAATGATAACTTTTCATAATGGCCCCACCTTTTTTTTTCTTTTTTTGTGTGTAAAATGTCAGTATTATAGAGCGAATGAAATACAGGAGCTTAGGGGTATCCCGCGGCATTACAAATGTTGCTAATTGTTCGAGAAGATGGAGGTAGGTCCTCCCTTTTAATTAACACTCCCTTGTAAGTATTTGTTCTATAACATCTTACGTGAAGTATAAATCATCCGTGACATTTACAGTATCCCCATTCACCTCATCTCCGTCGACCAATGCGCTGACGACTGCTTTCTTGGGGAGTCATCTGTGTAGGACGAACCCTGGATGACTAGCCCGGATTTCCAGTTACCACTTTTCACCTCCATCAAGTTTATTTGAACCTCCCCAGTTGGAGGGTCGCTCACGAAAAACTCGCCCAGATTGACCTCCTTCCACCCATCTCCTCTGTCCTGAGGAATTTGTTTCTCACTATCCTCAACGACTCTTGCCGCGAATGCATCACTGGCAATATGAGGTAATCTCTACCGCCAGGTTTGATATTGCTGTCTCAACCTCCCGTCAGGATCCAAATAAATAGTGCCTCGCTCACCCGCGGAACCAGAAAAGATGGACACTTCCACTGCTTGATTCTCAAAGCCATAGTTCTCATGCACAAACTTGAAGATAAAGTAAGCTGCACAATATGTGTCAGCAGACAGAAGTCGCGTCTCCAGTGAACCTCGAGCCAGCATACTCTAAGTAGCTCTGCCACCTCTGGGAATCTTTCAGATAGAAGAACAGATTTCAGTAACCACACGATAGATGCCAAACATAAGAAGACAGATGACAGTATCCACAGATAAAATGGAAAATGTAACAGCAGTCTGGAGATTGGATGGACCTTGAGACGTGGAGCGAACTCCATCTCCAGAAGCGAGGAGTGTCACCCCATACTATAGACAGATCTCTGGAGCCAATCATATAACACTTCTTCCCACTCCATTTTTCAAGTGCAAAACTCTGCGCAAGACATGGAAAGATCATTCTATGTGAAATATTTCGAAAATTAAGATGACGCCGTCTCTCCAGAAGAACATGATAATAATGAAGGATAATCGTGGGGAGCAGATTACAAGTAGGTAAATATATCATTCGGTCATTTGATATGCTGAACAAACAGCGTATTGGACATGTATGATACTCTTCGAGACATGATTCCCAAAACAATTAAAATAAGATTGTTGTACATAAATTAAGTACTTAGGATTTCAATCATCTCTACTTTAACAAAAACGAAAAAACAAACAAGAGTAACTTCTTCTGCCATTGCTTCAAAGAGACTATTGCAACAAGGTCGTGTTCCGTGAACTTCTCCCAGTAATAGAATAGCAAAAAACATAGAAGAACTATCACCTATGAACTTTTCAATTGAATGCACTTCACTATTTGATAAGTCAACCGTCCAACATTAACCAAATGCTTAGCATAGATGGTCCATCTCTATATCCAGCCCAACCAATTCTAGGAGCAACACCCGCCAAAGTCATTCTCTGCTTTCAACTAGTCCACCCTCGATTCAGACAAGAACATCACGTTTTAGCACACGCATGGAGACAATTCGCCCTGCATTCACAATTATGTCATCACGTACGTGCAAGCAGAGATTGCACCAACGGGACAATTTCACCTCCACAGCAGGCTTCTCTATGGAACAAACAATGTTCCAATTCTATCCCCAACTTTGACTAAAGCCAGTTACACCGCAACAGCCATTTCCCTAACTCTGGTATTCAGCTACTGCAGGCGGTGCACAAATTCGGAGCACAACGGCCTATCGGAAATGATGCCCTTTCTCACCTACAAGTTTAACTTTAAATTCATCCTAGTGAGTATCATCAGTTTCTTCAGACTGCCCAGCACAAGCAGTGAAGCCAAAACCGACCAACCAGCCAACCCAAGTTTTAAAAAAGCAAGACAGAACAAAATTGAACCCGAGTGCTGAGCCAATATCGGCAAAACCATAAAGTTAGAGTTGACACGGTTTATGCTTCATGCCTTTGAGACTAACGGTGTTAGGCACTCAACATCGAACCATCTGTTCTAATAACACGCAGATAATTGGGAGATTGCAGCCGATTACGCTAATTATTCTGAAAGCCTGGAACCATCGGAAAATGGCTCAACTTTTGTCTTTAACGCGTAAGATCGGCCATGGTCTTCCAGATGCGGATCACCCAAAACCGGAGTTCTGTGCAGAAGTAAGTTCAGAACCATTCGACCCGCAAGCCGATCTCAAAGACCGTCACCTTTCACTCCAAGATCCAACAAAATCAAACTCCGGGCCCACAAAAACCCGACAATCATTTCACCTCGCGGCCGGCACAAAAACCCAGAATGCGCTCGACAAAAATCAAAGTCACCTTGCGACCGGAGTCGATGAGGAGAGGGGGGCCGCAGAGACGGAGGAAGACGTCCTTCTTCCTGGTCAGCGGGGGCCCAAGAGGCGGCGGCGGCGACGGCGGCGGCGAAGTCGAGACGATGAGGTCGAGATCGGGAGGCAGGAACTTGCGCCAGACGGCGTCGGAGTCGGAGGCGGAGTGGAAGGCGCGCGAGACGGCGGAGCAGCGGGCGGCGTCGCGAGGAGTGGTGAGGGAGATGATGTGGGCGACGCACCCCTCGGGCAAGCCGTCCATCTCCACCACCTCCTTTGGGTGATCCATGGCGTTCGAACCTCCTCGGTCCGACGTTCTTGTTTCCGATTCGGACGACGGAATTCCGAGTCCGAGGTTGCCGATGCCGACGACCGCCGCCTCCGCCACGGCCATGGCCACGATGAAGTACGGAAGCAAAGATGCTGTTTGCAGTTTCACAGCTTTTGTCGTCGCTTTTGCTGGTCTTCCGCGGGTCGTCAACTCCCCGGTGCGGGCCGAGCCCGACCCGGAATAAGACGGGTTTCCTTTTTCTGTTTTTTTTTTGGTAGATGCATATACTTCGAAACTTCGGCGTTAGCTCTTTCCGAGATTCTATTCATTTCGCGAAAAATGAATGATTTTAAAAACGTTTTTCTAAAACTGATCGCTCATGTCGCTTAAATAAATAATTAGTCAAGAAAAGAATATTTTCATTATCGACAAAAGTTTATATCTAAAATATTGACATCTATTTTTAATTTGCCCAAAATTAATTGCACAAAATTTAAAAGTTAATTTTCTTTAATTCCTAAAATAAAAAATATTTCTATTTAAATGCATTGCATATAGAAATTAGGCACATTTATATTAATAGAGTCTATTATAGTGCTTTATTTTTAAAAAAAATTCCGAGTTGGGCCGGGTCGGGGCCGGGCCAACCCGGCCCTTTTCTTTTTCGTTTTTCCCCCCACATGGGCCCAGGCCCTTTTCTTTTTTTTTCCTTCCTTCCTTTCTTTTTCCCCCGCGCGGGCCCAGCCCGCCTTCCTTTTTCTTTCTTTCCCCCCGTGCGAGCTGGGCCCGGCCCGGCCTAGCCTAGCTCCCTTCCTTCCTTCTTCCCCCTCGCCCATCGTCCCTTTCTCTTCCCCTGTTCACCCCTGCAGCTGACGCAGAACGACGAGCGGCGGAGCAGCTCCGCGCCGTCTCCATCAGGCCAGAGGAGGGCCAGGGAAGCACGCCAACGGGACTGGCATTAATGGCCAGTCCCGTCCTCCCCAAAAACCCAGCCTCCTCTCCCCCTTCTTCCTCTGCTTCCTCACAGAACCGGCCCCCCCTCTGCACCAGCCTAAACGGCTGTGAAAGTCATGGGCCAGAGTAGGCCGGTGCAGGCCGTCGTCATGCAAGCGTATGGGGCAGAGAAGACGCGTCGTCGCCGACTATAAAAATCGGAGAGAGAGAAAGAGCCTCGGTCGGCCGGAGAGAGAAAAAACAGAGGAGAAAGAACAGACAGAGAAGAGAGAGAACAGAGAGAGAGAGAGAGAGTGCATATCGAGGTCTCGCCAGAGCTAAAGCAGAACCAGCAGCGGTCGTCGACGTCCCCAGACCAGCCGGAAGCCCCCCTGAAGCGTCGCCAACCGGTGAGCCTTCACGGCCGAGACCCCCCCTGTTTTCCCCTGTTTTTTGGCTCAGTTTGGCCGGGACTCGCGCCGGCCGTTTCGCACGAATCCCGACCCATACCGTCGTCGGTCCCGGCCCCTACTCACCGTCGAAAGCGAACCATAACCGTCGGAGCCGACCAGGTCGCCGAAGGAGGTCAAAATCCTCTGATTTTCATCGTGCACACCAAGTGCTCGATGAAATGCTTCCAAGAGCCGGGTTTGTTTTTTGCCGCCGGCCGACGATCCAGCAGTCGGACGGCAAGCCCAGTCGTTGGAAAAGGTAAGTGGGGCTTGTGGGGTGAAGACCCAGGCCATGGGTGGCCTGGGTCGTCCGGCGAAATTGCCGGATTTCGCCGGCGAAGCTCCCGCATGCTTGAACACGCGGGAGCCGTCCCCGGACCGGCCTGTAGACCTGTCCGACCGGTCTGCAAACAAATAGGGCCGGTTCGACCGGGTCGAACCGGCCCTATTTCGTCTTTTTCCACCGGACCGGGACCCAACCGGGCCTGATCCGGTCCAGACCCGGGTCGGATCCGGAAATCCGACCCGGTCAACGCAATGGGTCGGGTCTGTTGACCCGGGTCGGTTCTGACCGACCCGGATCCGCCGACCCGACCCGGTTTTAATATTATATTATTATATTTTTTAAAAAAAAAATTTAAAAATTAAATATTTAAAAAAAAATTAATTTTTTTCTTTCCGTATTTATTTCTTATTTATTCTTTTTTTAAATTTTTTTTTCTTTTTCTAAATTATGTGGTATATCTAAATATTTTAATTTATTGTTGTATTATTATGCATGTTGTTATAATTGCATAAATTGCCATGTTTAAATTACACGCGGTAGTATTCTGCATGTTATTTTTATTACCGTCTTGTTATTATTATGCATGTTTTTAATTAAAATACAATTGCATGAGTTGTTGTGTTTTGAATGTCATCTGACTTAGTCAGGGCTAGAACCTTATGCTGCATATCTATTTTGATTGCTGATTATTTATGATTATGCACTCGCTTGATCACCTCATATGTTAGGAGAAAAGTCCTAAAATCAATCCAAATTGCCTGACAAATGTTTTCAAAAATGAACAGGGTAAAAAGGTACCGAAAGAGCATTAGTTATCCAACTAGTGTAACCAAGTCCCCGAACTCAGTTAATCTTTAGTCCGTAGGAATAGGGTGATTCTCCCATCACCTTATTTGGGTTTCTAATCGACTCACCCCAAATCGATTAGTGGCGACTCCTCAATATAAACCATTTGCATGTTAAAAACTTAAACCCTAAGTCGCGATATGGTATGGGCTTGGGAGAGCCCGAGTTAAGTCTCGAACCTAGACTTAGCACTTACCAGGCGAAACCCCCTTTTTTGCACATGTCGTTATAAAAAGGCGGGAGGTCGGTCGCGACAAATTGGCGACTCCGCTAGGGACTTGCATTTTTTAAAGTGGACTTAAGCCAAAAAATTTTTATCCTGTTCAAAATAATTTTTGTTTGGCAGCAAGGACTCCAGGTATGATCCTGACATTAAGGTGTTATTTGTTCTTGCAGGTTCGAATTGATTGTTTATAAATTATTGTGCATGCTCTAATGATTTAGCACTACACTATTGCACACACAACCACGCTGCCGGACTTGGGCCGCAATAGGGCATTTTAGGATGGTGTTAAAAAAGATACGACCTCGAACGCGAGCCCGCGATGTAGAGGTTGCCTTTCTTTTCCCCAAAATTTATTTCTAAAAAATCGTAAAGAAATATCTTTAGCCGCTATTCCCGTGACTATAAGATATTCCTTTCGATTTGGCCGAGGTTAAAAGGACTTGACACCAACGCGAGACTACGACGGTCAGGCACCCTTTTAGCTTCACTTTGCTGAACCAGTCTAGATAGAAATCGAGCCTCACTTTTCATGTGCATGTCTCTGTAATTGCCATGGTTCCTGGTAAAGTAAGTTTTCTATTCATACACTTTGCAATTTATTTATCTTTGTATGCCCCGGTCAGTCCATGATAGTCTAGGTTAGTTGTGGATTTAATATCGTGGTCGTTTTGGAAGAAATAGTTACTAAAACTTTTTCAAAGTATTTACTTCCAACCCATGCCCTTATTTTTATAAGTACATTACAAATTACTGTTCTCCCATACGTTTTCTTGTCATTTTCAAAAGGGAGAAAATTTGTTATAATTATTTGTTTTGCGCTTTAATGACACCACCGTAGCATACGGCCCAGTGGTATCCGGGATGAGCGAAACGGTCCGAGGCGACCGGGGTTCGAACCCCGGGGACGCCGCCTATAATGTTAATATATAAATAAAAATCTTTTTTTGCTTCCCTTATTTTTTGCAAATAAAGAAAATACGTGATAGACAGATCCAATACTAGATTAAGTCATGGACTGATCATTTATGAGATTTTATACTCATTCGTTGCCATTTTTTTTTTCACAGATAATTACGAATTATACTAACCCGTCAAGTAAAAATGGCTGAAAAAGATATGACAACTCGTGTGGCGGACATGGAGACCGAAATGGAGCAAGTCTTCGCCTTTCTTCAACAACTCTCAAAACAAGTGAAACATCTGTCAGTCCGCTTAGACCAACTCACCATGACTCCGCTTCGCTATCCAAGACCAGGGGTGATGATTCAAATGGAGCCCTCCAGTGTCAACCAAAAGGATAAAGATGTCATAGCTAATAATGTCCACAAGTCCCCTGATCCTAAGGAATTGAGCACCCTATGCCCAAAGTTCATGCAACGTGAACAATACAAACCCGGTATCCCTCCACCCCAAAGGCGAAATAACAAAAAGCAGTTGACGCCACTCCTTTGGCCTATGTCTAAGATCCTGCCTATTCTCCTGGAAAAGAGGTTGCTTGCTAAAGAGCCAAAGCATGAAAATCCTGAGCGTTTCCCCAACTACGATCCCTCCAAGGCGTGTGACTATCATTTGGGTGAAATGGAACATTTCGCCAATGACTATGTTGTCTTGAAAAATAAGGTCCAGAAATTATTGGATGCAAAGATGTTTTCATTTCGCAACGCACCACCCAATCAAGTAGGAGACGCAGATGTCGTCATTGAGTAAACTGAAGACTCAATTTTCCTCCTTTAGAATAGAGGCATATTTAATAGTTTGAATCCTCCTATGTGAGAGCTTTTCTTGCTTTCTAAAGTCTCAGCTGTTTTCTAAGATTCCCAGTTTTCTGAATTTTTTAATTATGCTTGGAATTTTAGTATTGCAATTTCCATTCCAACAAATGTAATTCGCCTGAATTATTCAAAAGAATTACAAATGTTTTGTTTTGAGGGCCTGAAGAAGTATCCCAAACCGGCCCGTTGATGATATCCAGCCATGTAAAGGAAAGTGTTCTGAGGCCCAGGCTTCCTCATGCTTCCTTGTCTCTAAGCTTTTGAAAATAGAACAAACATTTTGTCATTTTTCAAAAGGACCGAAAAAAAAAAGAATGGTGGTAAAAAAACATGCATGCTCATAGCCCTGTTTGTCTTTCTAACTCGCTCACTTCGTGTCTCAGAGCATACTCCCTTTTGATTTATTATTACGAAGGGGACATTTGGAAATGACACAAACTAAAGAGCACATCAGACCCTGGTGATGATAGCGGACCAACTCATCTGATAGGGGCAGTCCGAGCGAAGATCATCTAATCTTCAAATGAAACATGGGGCAAATCTCATTACTACCGGTGGGTGATATCAGCCCCAGAGAGTCAAAGAGAATGCTGAGCATTCCTCGACTCCATGATGAGCGAAACATCATTTCGTACAAAAGTCGGGGACAGATCAAGAAAAGATTATCCCTTTTGAAA